CCTGTGGGGCGGCGGGCAAATTCGTCTCTGGGCAAGCACATCTCACGCTTCACCTGTGATGAGGTAAGCGACACAGCCCCTCACTGGCGCACGGAGGGTTCAACCCGAGGCAGCTTGGCAGTTGAGACTGGTCACCTGTGCCCAGGCCGCAGAGTCGAGCCGAGCGCGCCCCCCAAACGCCGCCCGCCACTCGCTTGCGCCGCGTCTCGCTGTTGGTGATCAAACACGCTTCCGTGCATCCACCCACCTGCCACCCCTGCCCCCTCGCCGCCTCTGACCACTCATCCGACCAGCTGTGCGCTTTGCTAGAGGAGATTGGCTGGGAGCCATCAGAGCTACGCGGCCTCCGCCGCTCCGGCACCACCGGCGCCGAGCTGCTCCTCCTCCTCGTCGCCTCCCCGCCCGCCGCGGACCCCTCCTGCAGCCGCGTCGCCGCGCTGCTGTCCGTCCCGCCCCACAAGGCGCGCCGCCTGCGGCGCGTGGGGGACGCGGCCGCGCTGTTCGACGCGATCGCGACGCGGCCGGCGCAGCCGCGCGTGTCCGAGGTTGAGCTGCGGCTGTGGCTGGCCGGCAGCGGCTGCAGCGCGTCCGAGGTTGAGCGCGTGCTCAGGCTGCTGCGCGGCCTCGTGGCGCGCGACGAGGGGGCAGAGTTCCTGACGTGCTGGCAGTTTGTGGCGGGGTGGCCCTGGGTGACGCACGCGCTGGAGGTCTATGGGATTGACTGGGCGTCGGCGCTTTGAACGGGCCGGAGGCCGCAGGACGATTCACGCCCAGCGCTGCCTGGCAAACGGCGGCGCGGTGCTGGCTGAGAGGGGGGGAAGGGGATGTATCCTGCATGCTGTTGGGCAACGATGGGCAGAGGCATCTGCGCTATGGATGGGGCCCAGGTCGCTGGGGAAGCACGCGCTCGTTGCGACCCAGCATGTGCAATTGGAGCGCGAGTTGGCAATCACTTATAGTGGTGATTTGATGCCAATTGTGAGCAGCTGTGCTGACTGCATATTATGGCATGACAATGTACATGGTTGTAATCAGACACCATCCTATCGGTGATTTGGTGAGTTTTAGTATCCCCGCAGAACGTAATGATATTACATGCTAACGAAACGCGGTGAATTCACTTAGCTTTGGGACATTGACTGAGGGGCCATGCAAGCATGAAAGGTGTTGGGACTTGCAGACGTTGTGGCCGCATCTGCTGTTTCAGCAAAGGAAACATCGAGCCAATGGCTAGGATCTAAAGCACTGCAGCATGCATCAACTCATGCTCACAGATGCAGCCCAGCTCCCCGGGCAACAGAACACACAACAGCACAAGTGACAAAGTGCCGAATGGCCGATACTTGTGTGCTGTGCCAAAATCGAGGAGCGTGTGCGACACGTCTACCTCTGCGGAGTGTGGCAGCAGTCAAAAGATTCACTTCCGGCGTGCATCGCAGATCTTCGCTGTAGATCAGAGGGCTCAGCGGACGCAGCTGCGGTAGACGAATTGCTTACGTGACGGAAGACTGCTCAGCCGCTGCACCCTGCAAGCCAGCAGCCTCGCAGGCAGGGGCAGCGCTTGCAGGGCCACAGCGAGAGCGAAGTCGGCGCAGTGATTGCGTGTGCTTGCGTGTGCGACCAGCCTGCGAGACCGCAGCCATGGCCTCCAAGCCGCCGCCGCCACCGGAGATTGCGTTCGATGAGAAGTGGGACCGCCTGATCGACACTTCGCTGCGGCGCGTTGTGTACGGCACGCTAGCGGGTGGCGCGGTCGCGCTGCTGCTGCTGCGGGGCCCACTAACCCGCACTGCGTCGAGTGAGTCAAGCCGGGCAGGGGAGGGTGGTGGTTTGGTGGAGGCGGATTCTGCAGGGTGCACTATGCCCTGTGTGTGATTGCCTGCCGCCTGCTTGTGTACAACTGAAACACCTCGTGCCTCTTGCCGGTACTAGACTTTGCACTCGCGCCGCACTTACACTGGGCTCCCTTGTTCCCCACTCTGCCCACCTTTCCCCCCTGTGCAGTCGCCTTTGGCGCGGGCTGCGGCGCGGGGTCGGCCTGGACTGCCTGCAGCAAAGACGTGAGTGCCGGGTGCTGCGGGCTGCTGTGCTTGCACTCCACGTGGCACATCTCATTTCACACTTTTCCTATTTGGGTATCGATTGCCTTTCGAGCAGGAGCGCGGGCGGGTAGTGGTCGCACTGCATGCAGCCACGGGTACCTATGCTACCGACTGTCTGCTGCTGCTGCCTGATACCGTCACTCTTCCCTTACGCTCCCGCAGTTTGCAGGCTTGATTCCCAAGTCGGACTGAGCGACGAGCCGCACAGATCCCTCCGCAGCTGCAACAAGCACGAGAGGCTTGCGGCTGCCACTGCACCAGCGGCAGCAGCAGGAGCAGCTGCAGCAGCGGCAGCAGCAGGCAGAGCGGAGCAGCAGCAAGTAGCTGGCCCAGATGGCTGACGGGGCCTGGGCAGGTGGCTGCAGAGGGGAGGAAATCGACACAGGGCATGGCGTCTTTGCAGCCCCTTGTCGCTGCAATCACATTACAATCGCTCAGCTTGACCTCGTGTACATCCTCTGCTGGTGTCCCATCCGCCTTGTACACGTGGAAATGTAAATGTGCAGGGGCCCCGTTTACCAGAGTCATACCAAAGCCTGCTTCCAATTCAAGGCGAACCACCTGGAGATGAAAACCTATTAACTAAGCAGCGGCTGCGAGCGCTAGCACACCAAGCCGCGCGGCCCGCCATCGCCCCGCAGTCAGTGCTTGCCGTTGCCGCCCGCGCCGCCGCCGAGGTGCCGGGGCAGCGCCCTGGCCTGGTCCGCGGCGTTGCCCACGTACCCCCAGGGCGTGAGCCGCGCAAGCTCCTCCTTGGCCTCCGCGGGCAAGCCGTCCAGGTCCCGCACAAACTGCTGCATGGAGGCCTGGGTGACGCGCTGGCCACGGGTGAAGGCCTTGAGCTTCTCGTAGGGCTCCTCCACGCCATACCTGGTGGGGGAGGAGGGG